CCAAATATGCTCACATCACAAGACAAAGCTTATATTTTTGGTTTATCTGAGAGCTTACAACCCAAACTCAATTTCAACACAGGTCTTACGGCACATCACACTTGATACTGTGAGGTTAAAAAAAAAAGAAAAAAATCGTGGAACCCACAGAAACTATCATAACATCAAAAACAAATTTCAGGAAAACTAATAAACCTCTTACCTCATAAATAGTGAAAGTTAGAAAATAAAGTCTGATTGTTTGCCATTGGTACAGTCAATCACGTTAAAATGTTTGAATAACCTTAAACACAAAAATCCATTCACTTTAGTTCCTTGTAGACTCATTGTTGTGCATGTGCTAAGTCATATTATAGTGACTTTGGAATGATGCTTTACTAGAAATACTGCAGCAGTGGGAAGGAATAGGAAGGATAGGATACGAAAGAAAGTTTAGAGACAGAGACAGAGGATTCCATGTATTTGTTGCCACAATTCTTTCTGGTTATTTGAGTAAATTTACCTTCCCTTTTTATCCCCTACTTTATCCACTCCAACCTTCCATGTCCTCCTCTACAGCTCTCTTCCAATTTGTCCCCCTCCCTCCCCCGCCCCAACACGGAGCCCTGGTGGTGCAGTGGTTAAGAGCTTGGCTGCTATCCAAAAGGTAAGCAGTCTGAATCCACCAGCCTCTCCTTGGAAACCCTATGGGGCAGTTCTACTCTATCCTATAAGGTTGCTATGAGCTGGAATCGACTCAACAGCAACAGGTTTGGTTTTGGTTTACACACACGTACTTGGAGTCTTGGTGGTACAGTGGTTAAGAGCTCAGGTTGCTAACCAAAAGGTTGGCAATTCAAATCCACTAGCTGCTCGTTGGAAACCCTATAGGATAGTTCTACTCTTTCCTATAGGGTCCTATGAGTCTGAAATGACTTGAGGGCAACGGGTTTGGTTTTTTTTTTTTTGGACACGCACATACTTAAGTCATAAAAATGGCAAATTCAAGATACAGTAATAAAAATGTCCTGGAAATACAATGGACAAGAAAAAAGACAAGCTTGCTGCTCTCACGGAGCTGACACTCTAGTAGGAAAAGTGGACATTAAATATATAACCACACATATAAATTTATAATCACAATTATGATGATTGTTATGGGAGAAAAAAAAGGTACAGGTCTCTAGCAACCACAGCACCAGCGTTTCACTGACAATTATCAATCTGGGCTCCTACCTATTAACCAGCCCTTGTGTTTGGGTTTGCATGTGTAACTTATTTTGACATTTCTTGATTTAAATGATCATTCATATCTCTCAGACAACAATGGAATTAAAAAAAAGAACCAATCAATCAATCAATCAGTTGTTAGAATGAAATGACCAGTTAAACATACACGGAAAATGAAACAAATGAAAACAAGCAAGCAAAAAAGAAAACAAATATCCCAGAAAAATACATAAACCTAAATTCTACACAGAACAGAGGACTAAGTCAGCATTCTGAACGCTCCTAATAAGAATACCACTGACACCCCCAGACACCCTTTTAGCTCAGTGGTGAAGTTACCTCCGAGGTTCACTGTTCAGCCTGGGAGTCGGCAGCCCCGTAAAACCAAATGAGACTAACGAGGTACAGGAGTCCAGTGACAAGGGCCAGAAAGCAGAAGGGGACAAGGAAGCTGGTGACAGGGAACCCAAGGTTGAGTAAGGATATTGTTGATGTGTTGTGAGATTGTTAACCATTGTCACAGAGCAACATTTGTAGTAACTGTTAAATGA